ATAAATATTTCAGGTGACCGTTAAGGCCCATGGGCCTCTTGTTTTATATACAATGTATGTGAAAAAAATGTTCTTTAATGTTTAATAATAACTTATTTGATTGTTCATGATCCGTTTATTCATTAAAACAAATTATTCAAGTACATTATATCTTAAAAGGAAAATCATCATGGGTTATATCTCAGTCACTGAGTGGTTTTATCCAGAAATGTTACAGTACGTTGCTCTAGCAAAGTGGTTCAGAATCCAGTATGCGACTAAATAAAAGATGAAAAATCTGTAAAGATCTACAGAAAACTTTAGGTACCAGGTGTAACCCTGATATCAGTAGCTTAAAACATGGGTGGAAGAAGTTAATTCACTATCATTTGTTTTATAATATTGTCTGATTTATGTTTAAACAGGTTTAAGATAATACCGTTACACTCAACCCTGTCCAGTGAAGACCAGCACGCTGTGTTCTTGTAAGTAACTACCTTTTCTGTAATTCATGTTCTGCAAAATAGTCCATTCTATTTCTGGTCTAAACCCCCATGATGTCAATGACAACTCAAATGAATGAATAAAATCTAATTCAAAATATTTCAGGAAGTCTCTGACTTCCTTCACCTAACTGAAAAAAAAGAAAAAATTTGAGCCAGGCATTTTGTTAAAGGTGAGGGTGTTAGTAGTGTATATCACCTTTTATCAGTAAAAGATATCCTGAATGTCAATACAGAGAAATTTTATACGTGTCCAGAAACCATTGATATATCCTTTTTTCATACATGTTTTTCTATTTTGTTATATTTTGAAAAATTCCTACATGTTCTTTTTTACTCTTGCAGAAAACCTCCAGAGGGTGTTACAAAGATCGTCATAGCAACAAATATCGCTGAGACGTCCATCACTATTGACGACATTGTGTATGTCATAGATGCTGGCATGATGAAGGAAAAACGGTAAATGTATTTTGTTGTGTATTGATGTTACTGGTCTGAAATAATCATCAAATTCCATATATGCAATGTTGTATGAAGTTGTCAAATATCAAAAACAAGTATTCATTAACAACTCTTAACTAGAATGTTCCTACAGGAATCATAATAAAATATATATATCAAAAGTCATCCTTGTTTCAAGCTTTCAGGATATATGTTTCAACATGGTTTAAAGGGTTTTTAAAGGTTCTACACTGAAGTAAAAAATATGAAAATTTGATTTTTTTCACAAATATTGATTTGAAAACCCCTCTGATCCCAAAATGTACTCTTATGGTTAGTAGATTAAGTTGACCTATTTTCCAGCACTTAGGATTTGACATTGATTTTTTTAACACTCCCTATTACTATGCACAGGTATGATGCCACTAAGGGTATGGAGAGTCTGGAGACAGTAACAGTGTCCCGTGCCAATGCCCAGCAGAGGAAGGGACGTGCGGGACGTGTCACTAACGGGGTGAGCTTCCACCTGTTCACCAGCCACAGATACCAATACCACATGAAGGAACAACCCATTCCAGGTAAAATACAATGTGCAGAGAAAAGGCACATTTAAAAAGATGGATTTATATTAGTAACCCAGTATTCTTGTACTATGTTCCTGTACTGAAAGGTGGTTACACTTTGAGAAACTTGTAGGTACTGTGCCCATCAGGACCCTATTTACCTTCTTGCTATGGTACATAATTTTGCTAGATCCTGACCATTTTATTTTAAATTTACTGAGGAATTTGAGATATTTTCATTTTTAATGTTCATTTGAAGTAGCAGACATTATATTCTTCATTAAAAACTTCATGTATTAAGTATCCTATCCTGTGTTAAAGCTTATCTGTTCAGACAATACCATGATAACATACATATACATAGTAGTAATCATTCTCCTGCTATGAATCTGAAGTCTGTTTTGCATGTTTACATATTTATCTATAACTACAATTTGTTATTTTATTCAAAACTTTTGTCTCCCTGTTTTGGTAGAAATACAGCGAGCTCCACTTGAACAGATTGTACTGAGGATAAAAATGTTGGATATTTTCAACAGATTGCATGCACAGGTATGTACAGACATTTTGTTGACTTTAACCAAGTCTTTAGAACTTAAGGTACCAGTCCAGAGGCAGTCTAAAACATTAGTAATTCAAACTTACATCAAATGGGCAGATATTGGTTCAGTGCTTTAGACAATAGCTTTCTACACAGAATGTAGGGGTCCTGTTATGACCACTCCC